GAGAGAGAGAGAGAGAGAGAGAGAGAGAGAGAGAGAGAGAGAGAGAGCATAAATTGAGAAGACGATTTTTTCAGATATTAAGGCAAAATAAATGAATAATAATAACATTATGATATATATGGGAGGTGAATTGGAAAGAGAAAATTAGTGAAAGGAAGTGCAGAGGAAAAATAATAAGAAGTGGACTGAATTGGAAGTTGAAAGTGGAGATAGGGATTTATCTAGAATTAACCGAATATTTATATGAATTCTAATTAATAAATATTAAAATTATAACCGAGGAGTTAGAATAAATTATAATATCAAATCTGATTTTTTATAAAGGGTTACAATTTAAAAATTAATTTTAAAATATTAGGAATGAGTTTTATGGTGCGGATATCAATTTTAAATAAAGATATATTGCATTTTTATGAAATAGTTTTAAAAAATAAATTTTAAACTTCTATTTTTATTTTTTATTTTTTAAAAATGTGTGCATAAAATTATTAACTAACACGATACTATAATTGCAACAAGTCATCATAGGTGAAAATAAATGGAAAGAACGTTGAGTTGATCCACTCATCAAAATTTCCTTGCGACACAAGCAATTGCTTTGATCATCTATCGCAATTACAACAATTGCAATCCACGTCTCGTAGCCCATAATTACCGCCATGAACAAACCCTCCACTGCCCTCTGCGGCCGCCTCCGCCATGTTTTTCTACAGAAGCCCACTTCCACCGCCGTTGCCCCGACCGTCCGAGATGAAAATCTCCTAAACTTCGCCAACCAGTTCAAGAAAGATTCGAACTCCCCAGGCTTCCGCCGCAATAGCTCTGCATACAAGTCCGCCGTCCGGCGCCTCACCGATGCCGGCCAGTTCTCTGCCATCCACGACATACTCGACCATCAGAAGCGCTACCCAGACATAAAAGTCGAGCACTTTACGGTCCGCCTTATTCGCCTCTATGGTGAGGCCAAGATGGTGGACCATGCCCAAAAGTTGTTCGACAAAATGCCCCAGTTAAAATGTCCACAAACTGTAATTTCGTTTAATGCCCTTCTAGCTTCCTGCTTACCTTCTAGACGTTTCTGGAAAATCCGTGAACTTTTCCGGGAGTTACCGGGGAAATTGTCCATAAAGCCAAACGCCATCTCTTACAACTATGTGATTGGTGCTCTTTGCGAAATGGGGCACTTGGATGAGGCCATGCTGATGCTAAAAGAGATGGTGGAAACCGGTGTGGAACCCAATGTGGTCACGTTCGACTCTCTCTTGGGCGCGTTTTACTGCAGTGGTATGTTCAAGGATGCGGAAAATCTATGGGAATTAATGTTGCAGAAGAATGTTGTTCCTGATTTGAGATGCCATAACTGGAGACTCCATGGGTTATTGGGAGAAAACAGATTACCGGAGGCTATGGAGCTGTTGAATGGTTTGGAGGGGAAAGGGTTGAAGCCGGATGCCCACACTTACAATATGATGATTAAGGCGAACGAGCGAAATTTGGACGAGGTAAAAAAATTGTATCGGACCATGGTGGACAAAGGTTGTGATCTGGATTCTATAACATGCATGACAGTTATAACCTTCGCTTTTGATGAAAACGACATTGATTTTGCATTTGAGTTGTGTAAGAAGCATTTCGGTGTAAAGAATGGAGTTTCTAATAAGATTATGAAGATAATGATTGATGAGCTGGTCGAGCGGTCAGAAATGGACAAGGCAAAGGAGCTCTCGGAGTTGGTTGAATCAAAGCATAAAATGAGAGGACCTGGTTAACTCAAACGCGATCACTAGTAATACTGGTGATGAGTTCTTTACTTACATTTTCTCTTTTGGTAGGACATTGCGTTTTTGTTTTCTATGCTGTGGTCTCTATTTTAGATTTTTGTTCTTTAGCAATATTGTGAGTAGTCAAAAATTTCTGTTTCTACTGCAAAGCATGAGCCTTTCTAGAACTCAGATGGAAATTTAGGCATTTCATTATAAGTTTGCTACTTTCTTATTTTTGGCGTATTATAAGATTGTAAAAGTTTACTGTGAACACTGTGCATGGGAATCTGAATGATAGAATACAGTTTGATCATGATGCCTACTCATTGCAAATCCTGTCAACTTTGTCTCGGTAAACCTCAAAAGAGATATTTACAATGAATACATGAGGGCTAACTGGCTGGCGCTTATAAAAATACTAAGGAGTGGAATCGAAAGGAAAGCTAACCGAAGCACCCTAAACAAACAAAAATAATTGGAACTGGGTCCTCGACACCGACAACAGCAACTAGACTTGTATGCTGGAGTCCAATCCAAAAAAAACAACAAACTAAATACTCCAACAAGTGGAGAAACACGCACTACAAAATAAAAGTAACACACACAGAAACTATCTATAAACTACTACCTCTCTAGCTAACACAACCAACCCACAGCAGAACCAAGGCGAGCAATAAAGCCATAAACCACACACAACAAAACCGCAAACAGGACCTAAAACGCGACAGAAACATACTCCATTCTATGGAAATGGCTAGGTAGAACCGCCGAGAAGGCAAGTTAGTCCAGATATGAAAGCCTAATGTCACTAAGCTATGCCAAAATTACCTAAGATTAGGCATGCATGTATAATTTCGGTGTTAGGAAATTTTATTTTTCTATCTATATTCTGATTATGGGCCACATAGGGCCACATAGTATATGCAATTATATTAATTATTCAGTTATTCAATTAAGTGATAGGAATAAGGTAAAAGTTCATTGGCTACCTAATTGATGTGGAATTATTGAGTAGATACCTAATACTACTAGGTTTGATGATTATGGGGAGCCTACTTGAGTAGTAAATAAAATAACCCCTTGGTTATGGTAGCCAATATACTAAATCGCACATATATTTCTATTTTCCCCATCAAGAATGAAATACAAATGCACATTATGCGAAAAACAAATATTGTTCGTGATTGCAGATCAGATATGGCCACGGTTCGGCTCGGCCCGCCAATTCAACCCAAATACATTTTGATGAAGCTATTTCAACCCATCAAAGAATAATAGAATGGCCCATAGTCAACGAGATTCATGTATATGATTTTTTGGCCCACATGTCAGCTCCGGTCCGGCCCGGAACAGACCTGTCTATTTTCCATTTTTGTACTTATTTTTTCTTTGGGTCGGGCCGACCCGTGGCCCGATAGTGTCCACCGGCAGCCTGCTTATTCTTTAAATAATACTCTCTCATGTCTAATTCTATCATTTTTCATATCTCTTTTATTTATTTTATGAAATACATTCTAGTTATAATATCTCAAGTTCTGGTGGTGGTAGTCGTGGTCGTGGTCATGGTGTCGTGTCGCTGATCGACCACCACAAAAGCATAAAAATATAGGAGAATTTTCTTTGAGTAAGACCTCCAATGCCAACACCGAGATAGACGGTATACTAGGATGTTATGGGTCTTCCCAATGACGATGAGCCTGAGACGGTCTAACGCATCTTTCACTCTATTGAGAAAATCCGTAAAAGCTTACAGTTCGAGGAGAAAAAGGGAAATCAGGAGCAACTATATGAAGAAGATTTCAATCCTACTCGAGGTGGAGGAACTCAACAACCTCAACGGTCTTAAACGGCTGGCGGCTGCAACGGGGGTCAAGCTCAAAGGATGAAATCCAAAATATCTACATGATACTTTATGAAGGTTCCTAATGAGAAAAATGGTTGATATAGGATATTATACAAGACTGGATTTAATGAATGATAAGGAATATATTAGAGAATAAACTCACGTATGGGCTAGTACACATGGCATAATGATATGGGTCAAGCCCAACTTGGGCCACAAGTTACACTTCCCGTATAAAAGGAGGTCAACGTACCTCTAAACCTCATTCTCTCTACATTCATAATTATACTATTGATATTTGGATTTTAGAAGTTTTGGAGCGATATTGACTTCGGCATCGGAGGCCCGACTCCGGGAACCTCCCGGTATTGGGTTCTTGCAGGTAAAAAGGTCGTTCGAGTTGAAGGAGCCCGGGTAAAGTCAATTTTTCCCAATATTTTGGTGCTGTCTATGGAACCCGTTCGAAAAGCCAAACGGAGTTCCGTTAGAAAAATTACGAAAATCCTCCTTCGACTCTGCCGGCCAAAGTACTTCGATCGGAAAATGGTTTAAATCAACGGATAGATATCCTCGTGGTGAATCTCCCCTTAAATCTCATGCGAAATTCATCTGAGAAAGCCATCGATTTGGCCGGTCAAACTTTCTCGATCTAGGAAATTTTGGTCAACACCAACCTTCAAATGCATTTTCCCGGCGTCTGTGGGGCTATGAAAAATCTGAGAGTACCATTGGAATTCTCTCGTCGAGACAAGTTTCTAGATCATCACCTCCACCGCCGGCCGCCGCCACTGCCGTCTTCCGCCAGTCAAAATCCTCCGATCGGGAAAAATCTTATGTCATCGCGAAGCTCTTCTCCATTCGTTCTCCTCTTGAAATATCATGCAAAAATTCCTCAGGTAAGGTCGTCAGTTTTGCGTTCAAAGTTTTTGGATCTAAGAATTTTTTGTCAACTCTGGTCATCTTCTCCAATTTGCCGATGATTTCCGGTGAATCACTTCAAATCGAGGATACCATTGGGATCTCCTCATCAAGGCGCGCGAAAGGAAGGTCATTTACGCCGGAGCCGGTGGCTTCTTGTGCCAGTATTTGTCCGGCCATTTCCACAGGAGTCGGTGGTGGGTCGGGGCACGCAGCCTGCAGATATGCGAGGAGCCTGAAGCAGTACAACCAGTCAGCCCAATGGAGGGGCCCAACCAACGGCCATAGAGAGGAGTACATACATGGCCCAAAATATTTATGTGCCAGCAGTATCAAGAACAACCCAATCAGCACCAGCCCATCACGTGGATACAGAGGAGGTGCGCGGGCCGCGTCTAGCCCGCGTGAGGCCCGCTCCCAGCCCGCTTCACGCACATAGTACAGCCCACGAGCGACCCAGCGAGGCCCACAAGAGGCCCATTTTGTGTCTTTTTTATGTTTAATTATAGACTCATTTTTTATATATTTCGTGCGGGGTCATTCTTTTATATTAGGAAATTATTATGTTATTTTTGTACATTAAGAGCTCATTTGTTCTAATTTTTTTTCATTCCTGCAATGATATTTTTAATAAATAATTTATTTATTTTGCCAAACCTAATCGCCAAAAAACATTCGGCATTATATGCATCGCACTGACATTTTACTAGTATCAATAAAAATTAAAAATGACTGACAGTGATTCAAACAATGGTAACAATGGTAGAGAGAACATTCATTAACAAATGAGAGATGAATAAAATTTCACTAGCAATGAAATATCATTAAAAAAAAATGATTAATTTTTATATTTTTAACACAAAATTATTTATTTACTTTTACTTAACTATAGCTTTCAACTAATACCATTAAAAATTATTTTAGTGCCAAATACATTTACATAATTTATAATATATACATATATATGTATATGCTCTATTATCAATACAATGGAAAATTTTGATTATATAAGTATAATTTCAATAGAAAAATACCATCTAAAAAATAACAAAATATTAATAAACATGTGTGTCACACGTATATAAAAATACTTATCTCTCTCACAAACAAATGTAGAAAATTAAGTATAGAAGATGAAAGTCCTTCCTTTCTACAAACCATTCAGTCAAAAAGATTTGGCTTCAAATGAGGTCCATATTAAGCAGAATAACCAACCATTAACATCTTAACGAAAAGGAACATCGTAAGTGTTATAACTGTCACTAACAACGTTACATTTTTGCTCAAGCTTCACTTCAAAACTGTTTGCACATACTAACTTTAATCAAAACTTGTGCAATATCCAACATAATGTACTAAAAATGGCGATCACTTTTAGTACACTGTCTCGGTTTTTGTATGAATTTTGATGAAATTAGCAACTTAGTGGACCATTCTTGATGATGCCCTATATGATGGATCTTTTTCAGAAAACGGCCAACATAATGGACCATTTCTGAAATTTTGCCCCTCAGAAAACTATGTTAACAGAAAAGTTGATCAAAATCAATCGCATCGCACAAATAAACACACTGTTGCATAGATGATGGAGAATGTTGGTTTGTATGAAGAATGTTGATGGTGACAATGGTTCAACGGTAAGTGAACTAAAAACTGTCAGAGAACAATTTCACTACTTATGTTTGACAAGAACTCAAAGAGCACTCCAAAGAGGCATGCATGAATATGATTGCGAGGTCTTGCAGACAAAATTTACTTATATCATTCGTAGCATTGCTATCTTGATCACGCAATCTTAGGGGAAGCCCATTTTCCGGACCTGAAATCTTCATAGAAGCTTGATCTCCTCGAGACAACAAAAAACACTGCAACGAAAATGAGGCCATGAAATATAAAGCAACGAACTCTGGATTGCATTAAATTGCATAGCTACAATAACAATTTTCCTAAAAAATGACAAACCAGGAATTCCAGGCACAATAAGATCTTGGTTTTTCAGGATGTCGTGAAGCGTTTTTTTCTCGTTTACTTTCACCCATCGTGGACCATCACCTGTAGATAATGAATGAAGTGATTAACAAAAGTGTGTGAGTCGAAAACTCAACGTGCCATATAATGCATTGAAGGTGTTCATGACTGCTTTAAATATGATTTTCTAGTAAATTATTTTACAAAAACAAATTAAAATAAAATATATTTAAAAATAGACCACCACAGCTAGCAAGAGATCTAAAGATCTCTATTATAAGTTGTGTGCATCATGACTTAGAATGAATGCACACTACAAAAAGAATGCAGAAACGTTATAAAGGAGGTTATTCTTTTCCCATCAATAAACCACCCAAGAAAAATGAAACTTACACTCGTATCATATAATAACTTCCGTCAAAGACAATGGATCCATCTCAGCACTTCATGACAATAGCTAAATATGATGATGATATTCTCAAATTAAGAGTTTTGCTCTTGTTGTGCTTTGTTATATTCTTTTCAAGGGTGTGTGAGTGAAGGTGTTGCTAGAATTTTCACATTCATAACCAATCCACAAAATTGTTAAACATACCACTTGAGAAGGAAGTATGAGCAGCAACATCGGTGTCCCGAACTCTATAGTTTTCCAGATGAGATGCAGCTGTCCCTTCCAAGAGATAACTAACAACTTCTTTTTTCGACAAACAAACTCCAGAGCCAGCCTGTTAGATCAGTATATTTATGAACCCAGCAAAAGAATTATTAAAAATTTTAGAAACATGTCAGAAGGGAAGTTCATTTCTGGTGGTGCTAAAATTAGCGCCATACAAAAAATAATAGTTTAGGTACAAATTTACTAACCAGCAGACATGTAAACATTAGACTTCGACATCAAACTTCACTCTGACAAACCTTATCGACAAAAGAAATCACAGAACAACCTCTAGGCTCTGTGACTCCTCCTAAAGATTATAAACTGGAATCACACAGATTTAAAGAATAATTCACCAATCAACACCTACATATAACTCGGTCATTTTCTGTGACATAACAACAGTTCTGAAACCTAAAGTGGTGCAAGTCTGTCCAAAACCAAACCACTCTTGAACTAAGCCTAAAAAATGCAAACTTTAGAACTCCTATTATTTTTTAGTACTGAAGCTCAATGGCACTTTGATGTCCCACTGATAAAAAAAAATCAATGGCTTTTGCATGAGACTAGACAGGATGACACGATGCCCACCAGTTGTGACAGCAGCTAGCACTGCTGGTTGGCGAGACCAATCCTGAGAAAGGGCAAGCAAGTACCGAGTATGAAAAAAGTGTTCACAGCATAGTTGAAGAGAGGATGAAAAGGCGATTCATTCTATAATTCTTCTCTCGTCATCGGTCTGCCTAGGCGATTTGATCACAGCTTGCCACCTAACGAAAATTCTACTAGCTTCCCAGCCCCATATTGGGTCAATCTCGCATTTTACAAGTTCATTCCCGAAGTACCATATGGTAGATCATGATAAAGTATATCGGCTTTCCTGTCTTGGTCAGTGGGAAAACTATGAGCAGAAGCTCCGTGTTTATTGTATTTTCATGCAAAACTAATAAAGTATCAGGAACTAGGGGGCATCAGACACAACAAGCTCCTTCACTGAAAAGAGGATCAAAACATCTTTACGACCAATCAAGTAAAAGTAATCTACTTTAGAATTATCTACATTGTCTTCAAACCACATCGCACATCTTGAACTAAAAAGTGATCTTTTACAATGGGGAAGGTTGGTTAACTTTTACGAATTAAATACTCCACGTCCATTTCTTCACTTTTTTCATAAAAGAAAGTCACGTGTAGTCCAGCATCAGTACCCATAATCATACCTCGTAATATAGCTCAACAGCATCACGCGTGTATGCCTTTTTGGTATCCCAGGGCAAAGGGGGACTATCCTCTGAGAACATGTTAACAAGCTAAGGATGACCACAAACTTCAAAGATTCAGCACCAATTGTACTGCTTGTTTAGTAAACATCGATAAAAGAAATGGCAATAATAAAGCAACTGCAATTGACCAAAGAATAATAAAAGCTTTAGCAAGGATATCATGTCTAGATGAACTGAGAACATATCAGTCTCACAGAAATCCTCTATGATGTCACCCGACATAATCTCCGCATAAAGAAATAAAACAGGCCAATGAAGAATATTGTTCTTGTCTAACACTGGCCTTTTAACTCCCGTGAGCTCCTGATACATTGGCCTCCCAAGTTTTATCTGTCTATCCTCAAAGGCAGTGACAACATCCTGCATGATAGAGACATGAAAGGTTACAGCATGTGAAATGTTCCAAGCAGTCAAATATAGTTCTTCTAAAGAAACCATGGACTTATTAAACCTCTGCGGTTGCCACGGCCTTGGAAATTTCAAGTTCACGCCGTTCGTATTCCAATTTCTTCACATTTATTTGCTCAGCTAGTTTAATCAGTTCTACATTGTCTGCACAAAGCTGAATGCCTTTCTCGCAATATGATTTTGCTTCATCTATCAGGTTGAGTGAGAATGATGCTTTGGCTGCCCTGTAGATAGCCTACATATATATTTTTAGAAGCTATAGTAGTATAGAACAAAAAAAAAAAAGGAAGGGGGGTGGAGAAAATAACCTTAACATTTGTCGGACAAAGTTGCATTGCCTCCTCGGCATCCTGTAAAGCCCGTCTGTAATTCCCCAAGAGAAGATTGACATGAGCCCTGTTCGAGTAAAGAATAGAGTTATCTGAATCACTTTCAGCTTTCTGATTAATGGCTCTTGTGTAGCAATCAATAGCATCTGAATAGTGCTTCTTCCCCTTTTTCACATACTCATTTCCCTTTTCCTGAAAAAAAAGGCACAAGAAAATCAACAACTTATCTAATTCTGTCATGCTTTTGTGCCTTCAGATGGAACTTCTATTACTACTACTCCGGCAATTAGGGAGAAGCACAAACTAAACATTACTTCATTTCATGAATAAAGACATTTTGAATAAAAAAAAAATTAACTGTTCACATCCAATGAAGCATCGTAGTATACATCCAGTGATGGAAACCCAAACTCCATATAAAAAAATTCAAATTTTAATCATAAACAACATTCAAAATGCCCTAAAAACAAACATATATATCATTCAAACATAACCCCCCACCAAAAGAAAAAAGAAAAGAAAAACAAACTAACAAATAAAATGAAATTGTGGAGAGGACCTTGAGTTCAATAGCAGCAACTTTCTTCAGAGCTGAGATAGCCTGAAGGTCAGCAACTTCTTCATTGGTTTTCGGTTCTGAACCATCCTCCATCCAGAGAGCCATTGATAGAAAGCAAACCAAAAGAAAGAGGAAGAGAAAGAAAGCAAGAAAGCAAGAAAGGAAGGAAGGAGGAGGAGAAATAGGATGTCTAGAAAGTTCCGTCGTCCAAGACGGACAGTGCTGCTGTATGTAAAATGAGTTGTGTTGCTCTGGCACGAATCATTTGCTAGTATTTGTAGGTTAACTAGGGTCTAGGGGTTGCATTGAATTATAGGGAGATTTTATGGTCTTGTAAAGAACTTTTATATCGGGATTTTGTAACGGCTAGATCAACTGTCTACGACGGTTACATGATAATCTAACGGTTACAAATCTCGAAAAAATAGTTCCGTAACGAGACTGTAGCAAATATAATTTTAAATAAACACAATTTAAAACTTTTAAAATTTTAGGGTATTTAATATTTTTAAAATTTCGAAAGTCAATTTTATTTGATTAAAATTTTATAAACTAGTACAACGCCCGTGTATTACACGGGTGCTTGCAAAAAAAATATTATAAGTTTTAAAATTTATGAAAAAAATTATTTTAAATTTTATTTACTTTCTTTTACAAAAATATATATTATCATATATTTTAGAATGACACTTGTTACTTGTGCGACCTACATGTATTATATTATAGTGGTTTTTATAACTTATATCATATAACTACTTGAAATATAAATATATTATTTGATAACTAATTTTATTTTTCTAATTAATATTAAAAAATAGTTTTATTATTGTTATAAAGATAAATATAATTCATGTTTTTTTATAAATACAATATGGATGTTAAATGAAAGCTCATCAAAAGATGATTAATTTGATATAATATATATGTAAAACTGATAAAAAATACAAAAGTTATTAACTTTTAAAATACATTTACAATTCAATGGTTATAATTCACCCCTATATATGAATCCAGAATGTGCTGAGTCTAAGTGTCAGTCTCGCATGCTTCAGGATCCTATGTGGCATTAAAATACAATTAAATACATGTAACATGACCATGAATAATCAGCACATTTACGGATAATCAGGACCTAATTATTTTTGGATTGGAAGTAAATTAAAATCTACTCAAGCCTAATAACGAAGCATGTAACTTTGCCACATAGGCTCTCGAAGCATGCGAGACTGACACTTAGGCCCAACACGTTCTGAATTAATATATATATATATAGGGATTTATTTAATTTTATATGCATTCAATTATTTTTTTTTTCACGAGTCTGGTACAATTATCTATTATTTAAGTTAATAAGATTTGATGAGACTGCTCAAATTGAAAGACTTTTGCAACATGTTTTCAATACACACACATATACACAATATATATATATAT